TGTATAATGGACTGGTAAGCTTGAAAAAAACTTACAATTTCCATAATGAACTTGAAATCAGGAAGTGTACTCATACCAAAACTTCATGCCACTTATCCCACCTACTAACCCCTGTACTTGAGGACAATCTGTCGTCCCTAGGCTCGGCCTCGACAAGATCCTCAAGACCACCCTACTAATACCAAAGCCTCACCATCTCATCATAAAAAAACAACTTTAAAGTTCCGCCGCATTAGGTCCGCCAAGTTTCCTTCCCGTCATGCTAAGAAAATTACGTCAAGTGCTAAACACAATCAGACTCGCCTTTATTACGTCAAAGCCATCGCCTCTATACACTTCTGCCAAAAATGAACACACAACCAGGTAGGCTTTCAATTACTGCTCTTTCCAAACATACCGCTAGGTGTCATCCTTACACTGTAGGCCTGTGACAGGTCCCACAATGCACCTCACTCAACTTTGACCTGCCCCATTGCATGACGGGAAACGAAATGGCGGCGCCCATAAAATCCAGGTAAAATAGAACAGGTTTTGCTATCGCAAACCTGTAATTACAAGTAACCCATTTCTCCACGGAACTTCCTTACCACGATCACGGTTGGGAGACGTCACCAGATGCACCATTTTCTTAAGAAGTCTTCTAAGTAGTGTTATCACTTCTGCTGTGGTTTTTTTGTGATGTTTTGAGTAGTTTTGTGAGGATTACTTACCGTCTGACTCAGTCCCAGTGACAGCCATTTTGAATATCCCGCCCAATGTCAAAGATCATTCTTACGTGTTTGATTACCCAGCTAGTGACGCTGTATTTGGGCATGTCGGTCAGTCACAAAACGGTGATAAGTTAGTTAAGGGGGTAACGTTACATGTAACTGGTATCTTTTTTTCTATTCTGTTCTAGTTGGCATTGATGTACATCACCTTTTTTTACTATGTAACGTTACCAGAATGTAAAGTTATAGTGTTGTCATTTGCGAACAATTGTAAAATTTTTGATGTGCTTTTTTTTCAATTCAATTCTTTATTTCATACCAACGTTGCAGACATACAAAAATATAGTGTTGCCTGAATGGCATTGGTATTTACAGTAATAACAGCAAGATAAGTACATAACATATATTACACATATATACATACTATTAAAATATATACATTAAATCAACAGGGCATCCCAGATATGACACCTTTACACAGTCTGGTTGTATAGTCTGATAGACTGATGTAGGAACGAGTTCTGGAGTCTTTTTGTTCTGGCTGGGGGGATGGATATGGTGTTCTTGTTCCTAAGAGAGCGTCCAGTGGCGTTAGCTCTAGAGACAGGGACGAGGTCATGTAGGGGGTGGTCCTCCTGGAGCATCTGTCTAAAGAGTTTCACAGCGGCATCCTCGCGCCTCGACTGCAGGGTGGGTAGTTCGGGAACGTCACGCCTGCCAGCTCGGCTGATGATGCGGAGGGCTCGCCGTTGGACCCGCTCCATCGCACGCTCCTGTTCCTTGCTACATCCAACAAGTAGGACATGTCCATACTCAAGTACAGGACGCACAAGTGCCAGGTATACCAAGACCAAGTCTGCAACACTGGTTCCTTGTTTAGAGAGTAGCCTCAGATAATGAAGTCTGCGAGAGGCCTTTGTGACCATAGAAGTGACTTGTTCTTGGAGGGTTAAGTTCTTGTCGAGGATGAAGCCAAGGCCTTTTGCACTGTCAACCCAGGGTACGCACGCTCCCCCTAGGGTTAGCCTTGGTGGGCTGGGACACGATCTGCAGAGACATATCTGTAGCATTTGACTCTTCTTCCCATTTACAGTCATGTTGTTGGTGTTGGCCCACGAGTCAAGGTGAGATGTTTCTTCCTTGAGTGTGTTGTCTTCATCTGCTTGGCGTACAAGAATAGTTCTGGACATGGAGACATCGTCCGCATATCCCACGTTCATGGTGTCAGGATGAACTGTTGTTCTTGATGCCATGAATAGCAGAAAGAGGTATGGAGACAGCACACCACCCTGTGGGACACCTGATGTTGGCTCCTCCCAGGAGCTGGCCACCCCGTTGACCACTACTCTCTGGCGCCGACCGCTGAGATAGCTGTGAATCCACGTTACCATGTGTGGACTAGCCTGGATATCGATCACATGCTGTAGCAGAATAGCATGGTCGACTCGGTCGAAGGCTTTCGACATATCGGCGAACAGAGCTCTGACGAGGGTTGGTTTCTTAGCATCCAACGCTGTTAGCCACGTTTGTACCATGCGCACAAGAGCAATTGTTGTCGAAGACGCCCCTCATGTACGCATACTGATCTTTATGACGGCGCGTAGGGAGGGGAGAAGTCTCTTCAGGATACAACGCTCCATCTGTTTGGCCAGCACGGGTAGGAGAGAGATGGGCCTCATATCGCAGACTTCTGTTGCCTCAGCTGACTTCGGAACTGGTGCGACGTTAGCTGATTTCCAGATGAGCGGTACTGTACCCGACTCATACGACTCGTTGAAGAGGTGAGTTATGATGGGTGCCAGATCTTCAGCGTGCTCTTTAAGGATCCAGCTGGGGAGATCATCTGGACCACTAGCCTTCCTGGGATTGATGGACTTCAGCAAGGCTTTCACCTCTCCAATAGAACACAGATCCACACAAGTGGCTCCACGAGGGAGTGGGAACAAGGAGAGTTGCTCACCTTGGCACCAGGACTTAGAGAAGTGGGTGTTGGTGTTTTCTGCCACCTCTGCTGCTGATTGTGTACTTTTTCAACTTGTATTTTGCAGACTAGTCATGTTATGATATGTAAAGTGCATTTTGTGCTTCTTTTTCTCTTTATTGCCAAGTTATTTGTACCTTGTTTTTGTTTCGTTGATGTTACTTTCATCTGTATGTGTGGAGAGGGCCTGGCTGCCTGGCTCCTGATGTGAATGAAATAAACAAATATAGATTCAGTTGTTGCCTTCACAAGAGTTATTGTATTTTTATGGTTTCCCCAACACATTAGTCAAGCCTTAGACCTTTCAAAATGTTCCTTCAACTTTATTCGCAAATTCTAGCATCTTTCAATATGATCACATAATGACTCTGCTTTAAAGACTCAACATATACATTTTAGTTACATGTGTACAGTGAACTGAAATAAATCAACAGAACAAAGTGCACACCACAAAGGGTAAATAATCACAATATATACATTACACAATGTTCAATGGATTACTTTGGTCACTGCTTTTATAATCATGATAATCCTTGAATCATACTACACCAGTTTCATACATGATATTCCTCTGTGGCTCTGATTTTTCTCTCTATAAATGACACAATATCAATGCAACTTTCAACAGTTTAGCCTAGCGTAAGGAGTCGTCCAGTGTTCACTTTTGATATTAAATTAGGTGTTTCTAAATTAGTAACAAGTCTCAAGAAGATTTCTAGCCTAGTGTACTGATGGATCCAAAACACTTTCCAGAAGTCTGAAATTTGTTGTAACCGTTGTGAGCCAACATGTCCTACGATGATGTAAGCCAAGGCACGACTCCTACCCCCACCCCTCCCTCATGTGCACACATCGGCGCCACATAAGTCCACGTGTTTGTGTCCGGAGTGTACACCTCCACCGTGTTCAGGTTTGTTTTCCCGTCGTAGCCACCGATCGCGTACAGACGGCCGCAGGTGGAGACCACGGCCACACGACTGCGCCGGTTGTTCATGGGCGCGACAAACGTCCAGAGGTTGGTGGCTGGATCGTACATCTCTACTGAATCCAGAAAACCTACAGGGAAATACGGATCAGGATATCAGTAAATCATTTCATCAGGTTGGTAAATGATAGAATGGTTGTGAATATAAAAGAACTTCACCATTCAATGGATCAGGATAATTTCTTCATCATTGAAATTTTGAGCCTCTGGAATGCTATTTCCTGCATTTGGAGGGGCAATTTTGCTGGTAAAGTAAGCTTAGTTTAATGACATCTCTTTCCATGTCTTTACACACCAATATTTGTAAAAGATAACGGATTGGGCAAAACTTGTCCATCATGAGCGGGCAAAATTCCATCAAATGATGTAATGACAGATGCTGGCTAGAACAGTATTGCAGTGTGTGCAGAATTGCCGTAGGGAAAATTTTGACCTCATACCTGATCCGTCGTATCCCCCGCAGGCGTACAGTTTCCCGTCCAGTCCTGCCACGCCCAGCCGGCAGCGTTTGGTCAGCATAGGTGAGATCAGGCTCCACCGGTAGGTGTGGGGGTTGTACACCTCAACCTGGACAACAAACAACCAACGATTTATTCAAAGACAATTCAAACTCTGCTACTGGATTAACTACGGAGATTACTTTCGGACATTTAGAGCGACCTCCATAACAGAAAATAAACTGCAGAACTAGTCAACACCTATCACATGTAAAAGAGCTGGAAAAATGATTTCAAAATGTTTGGAAGTAATCTCCCTTTCTCGTGAATTAGCCGCTAAGCTAAGGTAAAAGCACATACAGCACAACTTCTCGGTGTGTTACACAGCCATTGTACTTACAGAGTGGAATATCTGTAGCCCGTCGTGACCCCCTAAAGCGTAGAGCTGACCCTCGAAGGCAGCGATTCCTGCAGCACTACGAGACCTGATCATCTGGGTCACTAGGTTCCACCTGCAGGGAGAGAACAAAACACAAAGTCAACAAGAAATCAAATTAAACAGCAAAGTTCTTTCACCATTACTTGTTTAACAAGAGACAGTACACAAAATTGACAAGAAATTTTTCACCTCTAGGAAGTATTTTTGTGAATTTATTGGCACAATGTTGCATCAGAATTTTGCCTATTACAGATAGTATCATTTCTGGTACAACCTTTGAAAACTATAGTCAGGATGTTATCCTTCTGCCAAAGTGCTATGCACAATACATTACGGGTTCTGTACAAGTGCAGTACATTCTGCTCATGTGCTGGTTTGATTTGAAATTGTAACATTACTATACACATGGGACACGGGCAGCTGTTGCCAGTGTTGTGTCCCACACATAGAAACAAATACAGGACAGGACAATACTCATTTTCACTGAGTTCAGTGAGTAAAGTCGCGTTAAGTGCCTTTCCTAAGGGTGCAAGATCAGTGGCATGTCAGGACTCAAACCCAGGACCTCTTGGTTCTGAGTTGAGCACGTTACGTTAACGTATGGGTTGACTGTTGCTGAAGAGTAGACTTACTTTCTGGTATCAGGGTCGTAACACTCCACACTGCTGAGAGAAGATATCCCATCATACCCTCCACACACAAACAGTTTTCCCACCAAAGACGCTGCTCCTAAAGCACTGTGGGAAGGAAAGTTGCATCCATTGTTAGAGAGAAAACTTTCAAGAAAGCGAGAAAAGTGTACCATTGTAGTTGTAGTAAGATACCACACTCTTGTACATAACTGTAATTGTTCCTGTAACTGCTTTAGAACCAGGATACTTACCTTGTGAAAGAATATTAACATATACAATAGTTTTTCATTTATTTAACTGTTTGTTAAAATATTCATACAAATGCATCATGTTTGATACCTGGCAAATCCCCATATCATATTAGCCACACATGTTTTACATCATAACTCTTGCAGACTCCGGGAAGAATAGTGTGTTTTATTAGGATCTCCATTAGTGTTACAAACAAACCTTCTCTTGCTGTTCATGCCTGTTGTTAAGCTCCACTTCCCCGTCGCTGCGTCAAATTCCTCCACGGTACTGAGCCGCGCCTCTCCGTCGTAACCTCCGATAGCGTACAGCTTCCCCGCCAACACGGCCACGCCCACCCTGCTGCGCAGCGACGCCATTGGTGGAGCCAGGTCCCACTGCTGGAGGATCGGGTCAAACACCTCCACGGTGCTCAGGGATTCTCCTGGAAAAGGGAAAGTCTTCAGTAACTCGATTTAATTTTAGCTCACTGATAAAGAGCTACTCGTCCACTGGTCCTGATGTACAAGTACAGTACATGTATTTACAGGTTCCGTGGGCCACAGCTTCACATCCTGTCCATTGCCCTCTCTGCAAATGGTTACCTCCTGGAGTATCACATAGTGGAGGGAAGAAAGCAAACAGATAGATGGCAGGCTTCACCACCTTACCCATACTACTTTGTGAACCTTACAGTCCCAAAGACAAAAATTGATATTGAGGATGTATGGTGGTGCACATGCTCGGTTGAGTAATGAGTAAGTTGAAAAACCCATTATTCTAATCAAAAAGAGTAAGGATCCTTCCCCGCTCTGGTGTGAGTGGTTCAAACCTTACAGTCCTATAGCCGCAGCACGTCGGCAGAACGTACTACACCTGCGCGAAACCCGTAATGTATTGTACATAGCACTTCGGCAGAATGTCTCACATAAGTTCGTATTCGCTCATATAAGGTTAGCATTTCGACAGTAGCTTCCAAATGTTGTCAGAAAAGATATCCTCTGCAACAGTGAAAATTCTTATGCAACGTGAACCAAAAAAACAACGAAAAACGTGAAAATCCAGGGTTCTGCGCAGGCGCAGTATGTTCTGCCGACGTGCTTATAGCCGCACCTGCTTGTGTGAGTCCCCCCACAGCGTAGATCCTGCCGGGAATGTCGGTACAGCAGCGGGGGCGAAGTCTGCTGCTCAGCTGCGACCGGCGCTGCGGCATGAGGTAGTAATCCTTCGCTTCATCTACAAGATCCCTGCAGAATTTAAGGAGATGCAAAAAATGTCCTTCCATTTAGCATTATACCTGCTGTTACATATAAATGAAAAATAAAACTAGAAGCTTAAGGTACAGTAACGTATATACCAGTAAAAAATAAAATACAATACAATACGGAATCCGATACAAATGAAAATTTAATAGTACTATTTGTCAGGTACTGTGTTGACTGACTAATCCAGATTCAATAAAGGACTGCATCTATAAGCAGTGTCTTAAGTAGAATGTACTACACCTGTATTGAAACCTGAATTTTCCATGGTTTCTGCTGGATACTTTGTAGCAGAGTTACTGCTGTATCTTTTCTGACACATCATTTGAAAACAATAGAATGATGTGATCCTAAAAATCTTAACTACATGAAGACATTCTGCCAAAGGAGCTATGCACGATGCATTACAGGTTTTGTGTAGGTGCAGTATGTTCTGACAACATGCTGTGACAATCTATTAGGCCCAGATTTTCTAACCTCTGTATCTATACAACATCCTACCTGCACTGGTGTGAACTGCGTACCAGCTCGTCCGTCATGACACGTTCGATGATAAACTGTGGCTTGAGCAGAGGGAGGCGAACCTTGGACATCAGGTCCACCAGGTCTTCTTTTCTCCTTTCCTCATCGTGTCTTATCCACTGGATGGCTGCTTCATACACCTATGGAAAACAGGTTTTCTAGTTTCAGTTGTGTTTTACAGCGCAGAATACAGAACCTGGTGCTATTACTCGTAAATAACATTCAGCTGATAATAGATACATGTATTTATTGTGACTACAAGTAACTGCAAGTTATTGATGTTTGCTTTTGTCTGCTTCTCACGAAAAGGTTTTTTTTTTTTAACAAGACGTGGTGCCAGTTTCTAAAACGGCTGTAATGCTTACTGTCACGGCATTGGCGGCATTTAGTTGAATTAACTGGCAGCAGAAATCAAGAACTGGAAGAATGATTTGCAATATTCAATGTTCTTAAACACCAGAAGAGTGTACTTCTTGTCCTTTTCCTTTTGTTTTTATAAAAGGTAAAAAAACTGGAAATTGGTTTGATGCAGGTTACACACCTCTTCCTCGTGTTTGACATTAAGCTCGTCCCTGGCCAGTAACTGCAGCACTTCTGCCTTGGGAAGTGAGAGGAACTCTTCAGACTTGTACACCTGGATGAAGTTCTGTTGGATGTACTTGTTGGCTGCCTCGGCGAGGTTGTGGCACATGTAGGTCTCCGAGAACCTCTTCACTCCCAAGCAGTTGTTAGGATGCAGCCTGATGGATGAATAGAGAAACAAGAGTCCATAGAACACAAACTTCCCTGAACTAATCATGGTGTTTGTGGTGTATTTGATACCCTCTTTCACTACCAACATTGATTATTTCAGGCAACTTTTCAACTTACTTTAACGTCCAAATTCTGCAAGAATGAAATTTAAAAAAAATTACCATTATGGAATTATGCTTTCTTATCACTGATAATCCTATCTTGTTACATATGTCATATATTTAAGAGTCCTATCATATCTATCCTAATGTGTATTTGTAAACTTTCCTCCTAAACTATGTCAATTAGCTTATGATTTGCATGATTGCAACAAGAACTGATGAGGAGGGGTGAATGACAATGAAGTGGCCTAACGTTTTGACAGTGACACAAACACCCCCCATGCCCGTAGCCAGGGGGGGTTCGGAAGAACCCCCCACAAGGCTCAAAGGTCCACTTTTTGGTCCACTTTTTATGTAAAGGTCCAAGATTTTTCTTGAAAAGATAGACTGGAATCGTAGAAAAACTGCTGACTTTGTCATTGAACAAAAATTTATCTCTGATTTTTCTTTGAAATCCTCTCAAAAACGCACGAAATGCCATTTTAGAAGGTTCATTTTTCAATATTTTCCGGGCCCTAGGAATCTCGCCCCTTCGGCGCTCGAGGTCCCCTCAAGCAATGGGAAGACCCCCCCCCCCCATTCAAAATCCTGGCTACGGGCATGCCCCCTACCTGTCTTCCAGGAAACTGCAGCAGGCCTCCTTGACCGGGTGCAGCTGCAGGAAGCTGGCGGCCACCAGAAGAGACTGGACGTTGGTGACGTCCATCTGTACCTGGCCGCAGTACGCATAGTTGACCATCGCTTCCAAGGCACTGCAGGAAAGGTGGAGTTAATATCTACAGCTTTTACGTAGCTTCAATGTGCCATTTCAAAAACCTACACAGGGCTTGAAATAGTTTCTTGGGGGGTATAGGTGCACTAGTGCAGGTAACATTACCTGAACCAGAGAAATTTTACTTGCAGCACTCAGATTTTGAGAAGTATGGATCACACTAAGAACCATTACCAATATGTCTTTTATTCTTCATACATTGAAGCATAGATGGTAACTGTCAAAGCAGCAAATAAAAATACAAATACACCTACATTTGTATATAAACCTGATACATGGACCAGTGTGGATTTGGTGCAGGTAGACAACGAAAATATGTGCCCAGCTCCAATTTACCTGCACTAACCTGTATATACCCAGTACATGGACCAGTGCAGGTTGACATGTGCTCAGCTCCATTTTGCATGGAGTAACATACTTCATATGCAGGTGTTTTTTTTGAGCCACAGGTTTGGTAACACTAACAGTGTGACTTTACCTGGGTTCAATCCCTTGAATGCTGATCTCGTCTTGTTTACACTCCACCATATCGTGTGTAAACATGGCATGAAAGTATGGGATGGTGGCAGCCAGGACAATACGATGTGCTGTGAACTTGTGGTCACCAACCTGCAAGCAAATGCAAATGCTATGAGATAAACAAATCAACTCAAAAGTGCAAAACCAGTAGCAACAGGCTGTCAGTTCTACACAGGAACTATGTAGTGCCAGATGTCTTACTGAGGGATGACTGCGGTGTGATAGATGTTGGCTAGCTTGAGGAATGGATCCACTTTATACTTTGCCCCCTGACAACGGTGGTATGTAATTAGTTACATTCTTTGTCTGCCTTAGCAATACTACACGTCCTGTGATATGTAGATGAAGTTAGATTCAGATATGGTATTGAGAAAAAAATCTACAAAACCAGTACAATACAGAACGACTCTCAATATGCTTAGAGATTCATGTGACGAATTCGAACCTGTACAAAAAGACTCGTCTGACATAATACATCTCCAAGCAGATGTTTTGGGGAAAGATCGTTCCGTTATTCTAGCAGGCCCTCATAGCACCAAAATCTGCAGAAAGTACACGGGAGGAGCATATCTTTTAAACAATACCCCTGTCAGAAAACGTTACGATCTTCCATGCCAATAGCTGCTTGGAGAATAGCAGTGTATCTTTCTGTAAACAAACCAAAGGTTGGCAAAAGACCTGAGCCACCCCACCCCGCCCCGCCCATCTATAAAAGCGCCTACTATCGTCTAAATACACGTCTAAACCCCGTTCCACGCAGACCAACAGACCTTTAAGGTTACGTCGCATAGTTTGCCCTGTCGTCTGATGTCCTGCATGAGAGAATAACCCTGAGAAGAGAAGTCTGACGCTTGGAACAGCACGGCGTCGTCAGCCATGTCCGCCATGTTGGTTTGACCTCGAGGTCACCGCGCGCGGGGGATGCTGGGAGCGTGGCAGGTGGTTGTCCGTGTTTCTTTGGCAACAAGCTTTACTAAGTTTTATATGACGATTTGACAACAAAAACAAAAGGCTGGGTTTCTTTACCACATCCGTAATCGTTACATAAAATTTCTTTGATAAGATCCAAATTTAACTGTTCTTCGAAAGTATGAGTATTTGTAGCAGGAGGCCCTGTCTAACTTTCTGTTTAATGGCTGTATTATGACATATGCCTTTTTATAGTCAGACATATGCCTTTTTATATTGACTATAAAAAGGCTTTCGATTCTGTAAGGCACAGAACCCTGTGGAAGATCTTGAAGGATTTGGGTGTGTCCAGGTACCTAGTCAACTCGCTACAGCAGTTGTACAGACGACAACAGGCAGCGGTCAGAGTGGAGGATGAGTTAACTGACTGGTTCCAAGTCACGAAAGGAGTGCGTCAGGGTTGTCTGGTCTCACCGATCTGCTTCAACTTCTACTCGGAAGCAGTGATGAGAGAGTCTGCTGGTGAACTCTCATGGATTGGTGTGAACATCAGTGGGAGGTCTGTCAACAATCTACGGTTTGCTGATGACATCGCCCTGATTGCAACATCACCTGAGAGACTTCAGGAGCTGCTGGACCTAGTCAACACTGTGTCTCTACAGTACAGGCTGGAGATCAGCACCAAGAAGACCAAGGTCATGGCAGCAACTAAGCAACCCACAGTACTGAGTATCTTCTGTCAGGGGGTCCAGCTGGAGCAGGTGTCAACTTTCAAGTACCTGGGTGCCATCATTGACGAAACAGCTGGAAGCAGCCGGGAGGTCAGTGCGCGCCTGGGAGCCGCGAGGACAGCCCTTAGCTCCCTGGACGTCATCTGGAAGGACAGAGTCCTAAAGATGTCCACCAAGATGAGGGTGTTGAGAGCGCTGGTGTGGCCCGTGGTGACTTACGGCTGCGAAGCATGGACACTCCATGCGAAAGACACACAGAAGATCGAGGCCTTCGAGATGAAGTGTTACAGAAAACTGCTCAGAGTTAGCTGGACAGAACATCGTACAAACGCCTCAGTCCTGGAAGAGTTAGGGATCGGAAGATCACTCCTACACATGATTAGAAGGAGGAAACTACAGTACTTCGGTCATGTGTCGAGAGCACAGAACATCTCAACTCACATCCTGCAAGGACGGATCTGTGGTAGCAGGAGCAGAGGGAGGCCGCGAAGGAGATGGGTAGACGACATCAGAGATTGGACAGGCAGGTCCCTGGCTGACTGCACACAGATGGCCAAGGACAGAGATGGATGGAGGAAGCTTGTGCTGAATGCTACCACAGTCCCCGACCCTCCAGAAGAGGAAGGGACAAGGTGAAGGTGAAGGTGATGACATATGAGATGCACAAATACACTTTATGTAGTATGACCATGGTATGACTAATCAATTAGCTTTTTTTCTACCTTTGGCTGTGTCCCATCCCCAATCTGATACTAGCTTGGTGACACTATGTTGACTTGGGGCTTTTGTGGGTGTTGGAAGCAAATCTAACTGCTCTTTTCTGAGCAGCTTCGATATTATTGGTGATAGTTAATCTATTGGCTATGGTCCTTAATTTTTTTTAGGGTAAGCGTGATTTTTATTTTAAAGTGTGTAGGTGATCTATGTTACTCGTATGTTGATCATACATGTGTACATTTTTATTTAAGTCCCAATACATGTACTTTTATTCTGGCAATATGATATTGTTGTACAACAGCAGCAAAAAAAATATTGAATGCCGATAGCAGCAATACGCTTCGAATTGTAGCCAGTATCATCAAAAGTAGCATGTACGAATGTACTATATCGGTTATAGGGTTAACGTGTAACCGGAAATATATTGTCTACTGTCAGAGAGATCCCTCATCGCAACGTTCTAATGGCTCTTTCGCTTCCGGGTCAAGAAGCATCAGTCCACAGACGATAGCGTAGCCGGTAGTCACCAAGAAGACTTTTAGAATTCTGAAGAAAAAAAAAGAAATACTGATTTTATATAACGTACGGCGCATAAATAAGACACAGGCATGGGGATTGACGTAGTATAGAGAGAGAGAGGAGGAGGGAAGCAAGGAAGGTCGAGGGAATGGAAATCCGAATGGACGTAGGGAATAATTGTACTACGCTGTTGGCTTTTGAGGATGGTTCTTTTGCAATTTATGAGTCGGATAATTTTTTTTTATCAAAATTGAATGGTAACGTTACATGGTCATGATACTACCGTGGCAAAACAGTTAAATCCTTTGCACAGGAGCGGCTGACATGATAGACATTCCTATGGCCAATGGATAGTGTCTTGCCTCTCTTGGCATCAATCATAGGACCTTCTTGGAGACTTAAGGAGATGTATTCTTCAGCTGACTCGCCTGTCGTTCCTCCCGTGCAGTTCCCGTGCCAGGATCTCTAAGAACGTGACGTAGAGAAGTGTCCCTGTGGCCAGCCCCTGTAGGACCCCGCTCACCACAGAACTGTGTGAAGTTTGGGCGCCGTGCTCAACCAACGTCCCGATCCCGATACCTGGGGCGTGAACCAATGTATGTTTGTTTGTTTCATTAGGATCTCCATTAGAACAAAAAATGCATTACACTAGAAATGTAACATTTGCAAAGTAAATGCATAGTGTTTACCTTTACATGGTCTAGCCTTATAAAGTACTACTATGTTTATTATTACTCAAACACATTGATGTATATGTGGTGACCCGTTCATATTGCTACATCATGTAATTATAACCCAACACAACAAGGTGTCTGCTACAACACTAGTTACCGTCTGGTCCAGGTCACTGACCTTATGCGTTTGGAATGGAAGAAGAAACTAAGCAAAAACAATGTTTTCCTTTTGCGATGGTAAACATAATAAATGTCATACTAGCTATGTGATTGCATTCAAACGTACAAGATCACTTGCCTATAGGAGCGGTTACTGCAAACGTCAAGCATAGACCTGCCACAGACTTCTTCCCAAGGTTACTCTGTACTAAGGTCAATCCTAGCCCGAACGCTAGAACACACTTATGGAGGGCCACCGCCGCCACAAGCTCCAAAACGTCCGTTACGTTCTGCTGCAATCCCACTGCCAAGCCCTCGAATATGGAGTGCATGGAAATGGCGATAGCAAGAGTCCACGACCTTAGGTTGGTCGTTTTATGGGATCTATTTTCATCGCCAAGGAGTCCCCAGTGTTCGACTTCGTGAGAAAAGATGTCCATCTCTAGGTCTTGCTCTGTTGTGTCATCGGGGGGTCTGTCTGTTGTTGTGGGTTGACCGTCATTGTACTTTGCGGTAAACTGTTCCACGGATAGAATAAGAAGTAGTCCTGCACCGATTACAAACTGTGCTAGTGGGAAGCCAGGAAACTTCACAAAACCTGCAACAGAAAAATATGGAATTTGCATAATCTCATGACCTTATCATATATGTCAACACTCATGTTTGAAAAAAGTCATCCATGGAGCTTCGCGAATGTCCCGACTGGATTCGGCAACGATGCGCCAGAGAATGTTACAAATTAGGAATGAAGGCATGATTTGGTTCGATTAAGAATGAATATAAATGGTCATTTACTGTTAAAGGATAAAGGACGATGTTTCAGAAATACATCCGCTCATAAGGCGTCGCCAAAAAGGGTATTTAGCAATTGTAGTATACAGTAGCTGTTTGTGTTGTTTTTCGTCTTATACAATTCCCTATTTACTAGTAACTACATGTAGTATCATCCAATATGTTATATCATCCAGTGCATTTAGCCCGGAAGGGCATGAATATGCAATAAACATCATTGTCATTGTCAATTACTAGTAACAAAATGAACAGTTTGTAAGGTAATTAATCTTGGAACACGTACTTGAGACAACTGTTTGTAGCTGTTCCTCTACACTCGGCACCAGGTCTAGCAGACAGGTTCCCAAGAAAACCCCACCTGCAAGACAGTTCAGGAGGCTCAGAACTCTGCTTGGTTTGCGGTGTTGCAGTTCGCCTTTCCTCCGCAAGGATCGCCGCGCTAAACAGACGGGCAAACAAGACGCAACTAACGTGAGTGGGAAGACGAGGAACAAGACGAGAAGTTTTAAAACGACGACATTTTCCATAATGCGCCAGTTCCAAAAGCGAGTTTGCCTTCAGAACTGATTACAAATCGGTGCCTGGTTACCCTGCCTCCGTCTGTTTGCACAAACCGCGGTCCCCTGAACTTTGATTCCCACCCACAATAGCATGTATATACGATGTTTAGTTCTTGAGTGAGTGTCTGAAAATAATCGTCCCACTCTGTCTGAGGCCCCGGTATCCGGCCCCTGCAAAGAACGCCTTTCCAAACTTTATAAAACAAAAACATAAAAAAAGTTACTGATAATCATTTTATCAGCCAAGGCATTTTCTTATTTAAACGAGAGATATGGAGTACCTAGCTAACATAAAATGCCAAACACGTTGTCCTGATTTCTAAGCTATGGTAAATAATTGTCCTTACTGTATACACACGGTGATTACGTGTTCTTTGAGGCGTAATCCGCAGCTTGTAGTGGTCTACGTGCCGTTGGACCATACTGTCACGGGTTCGAATCCATAGAAAAACTGAGACCCGGTACATGCACATGGGCTATCGAAATGTACTTCTAATGTGTCCCAAAAAGCAACATTATCAAGGAAATAGCTATACACAGACCATTGGGGTTTTTCTTGCCTGGCCAATTTGATTCAGTTTTGCCAATATTTGATACTGTTTTCCCAAAAGATCTGATCTGAGATTAAGAGGTCAGCCACCTTTTCTGCAGACGATCTATGGTCCAAGTTTCCCCGCCTACTCTTTAGTTCGCCGACAGGACAGCCTTCCTTCCCGCACTAAGTACGCACGTCGTTATACTGCACTCGGGCGGGAGGATCTCACTGGAAAACCAAAGGGGCTGGTCAAAAATACATATCCGTCTTCTCTCTGAGGGTCTGCGTGCCTTTTTTCCGGGAGGCGTGCTGAGCCAACGTTTAATCGTAGCGTTTCAATTCAGCGTTACGCGTTGTCAGAAAATTCTTCGTCTAGAGAAATTTGAATTCTAGTAGTCTTTGTTATTTTGAAATGTTAGTCACATGGCATAGTCAAACACCAGAATGCTCAAGAAATAATAACGGAGCGTCTAACGAAGACCTGCAGACTAGTTTTGCCAGACACCCCCAAATAAATACAAAAGAATACTCCAATTAAGTCGTTTGCAAAGCTTTACATCATGACGACTGAATTTACTGTTACGTTGTCGGGCTGCCTAAATTTACCTCAAAGCGTTGCCAGGACCCCCCACCCATCATACCGGGATGTGCCAGTATTGTACAAGTCGCTGTTGGATCCCCCACCCTTGCGGGTTTGCACTGACATGTGCCCGTTGTCCGGTGCTAACAGTTGTCGCAGCCCGGCTGATGGAGGCGATACTCTCATCAGCCAGGAAACAGCCGTCGTTTCTTATAAGGAAGAGGACTAGGCAACTTCCGGTCCTGCCCCACGCCAAAAGTACTAACTCTCTCCACAACCGCATGCTGGCAGTAACTCGAACCGTTTTCTCCGTTTTCACAAAGACTGGAAGTCAGAAAACTATAGCGAGGATGGACAATCGTGCGGTGTTTTTTCTTCTCCACATCTTGTCGGTTTTGCCGTTTTCTCTAGCGCAGGTTCCAGGACAGCATACCCCGGAGCTGGCCACGCGAGGTCCCAACCTGTGTGAATACGTGAACCCAGTGAGGTAATGTCTGTGTTGTGTGTCACACGTTCCCTTTTCCGTTTCTTTGTCCTAACATTGTCCACCCTACATAAATATCATAAGGAATGCTATGGACTATATTCTTAGATGGCGTATATCATTACAATGTTTGAGTTTGGGCATTTTCTGGTGTACATGTCGGTAACAGAAGATTTTGGGTCAAGGAGAACAGCGATGTTGTCAACACAATGCTTTATCAGATCTCGATGCAACTCGTGACGGCCATAATATTTTTCTTTCTGTACAATATTTTGGTTTAAACTTAAGCTCCTTGCAGTAGAGCTCAATTTTCACGCGTCATGTTTTCTCTCTTAATAAACGAAGTTTTTATCACCCAAGTGTAATGATTGGCAAGGGCCAAAAGTATTTTCTTCAACAAACACTTCTTCCAATTATCTGCACTCTCACTACACAAGAAGTTACATTATAGAGGAACATAATGCTTGTGATTTTTTTCAACTGGCTGGGCAAAATTGACAAAACAAGATCAACTTGTAGATTAGCTTTCCGTATTACTTCGATTTGCACACAGATGATAAATTTCCGTTTTCCCAACAGTAACGCTACAGAGTACCGATGTTGTGACGAGTGGCAACAGTACGGGCACTTCTGTATCGTCGGTAAGTTTAAACTTTCAAGACACGACCAAGTTTTACTCTTGATTAGATGTTTCCAGCAAAAGTGTTTTATTGTGATCTACTAGTATGTTTCTAGACGGTCGCGAAAATCATTTCACGATATCATCAACATGATATGACAATCATCGATGAAGGTTGGACATGCAGGTAATGAGAGAAATAAATTGTTACTCAATCTATCCAGTTGCTTGTCGTAACAATTTCCTTGCGTATGACATGACTATCATTTCATGATTCTTCTTGGTTCGTCCTTAATCGCAAAGGAGCCTAGCACGGTACGATTATACAGACGCGTCAATGACAAGGTCGACCCCCTGTTACACTATGGTCTGCGCCATCACCGTTACAAGAGGCTGTGACGCGTTACCACTGACTAGTGTGGCTGTTACAATTGTGTCACACACAGGCGCCTGTGACGCGTCAGTGGTGACCCCCTGTCACACAGGTCTGCGTCACTTAAACCACCGTTACAAGAGCATGTGACGCGATACCACTAATAAACGTTAACCAGAGTGACTGTCACTATTGTGTCACACAGGCGCCTGTGACGCGTCGGTAGCGAGCCTGTGTCACGCTGTAGGACAGGTCTGCGTCACCACCAACCAGTGCGGCTGCATGCACGGATGGAGCCCGAGGGTGCAATGTCGTGAGTTTTTTTTTTTTTGCAACGCTCCTAAGAGGGAGCCCTTCTATGTAACATTACTAGAAACTAGAAAGGTAACATTTGCAAAGCAAATAAATAATGCTTGCCTTCGCATATGGCACTTGTATTAATTTTTGTTACAACTGCAAAAAATGATTAACATGTCACATAATGTTATCTTTAAAACATCTATTATGCATTCCCAGCGTGTCGGGAGGGTCGGTTCGGACCGAACTGCCTGTATGAGTGTCTGTGTGAGCACGGGAAGTGTAGTCCCTCAGACGGACAGTGCACATGTAACGCCGGGTGGAAGGGACTGCTGTGTGACATCCCCTTATGTCCCTTAGGTAAGCTGGTCCTCTATGCACCAGAATTCTGGTAGGGACTATTATATTTTCATCGTAACGTCTTTCTTTATTCATATTTCTATACTCCACTCTTGTATATCATTAAACCAAACTGATGAATGGTGTTGGTTCTTTTTATACATTGGCGTGCCTTCGGGGTGACCGAAAATGTCTATAACTGTTACCGTATCTAACCCAAACCCTAACCATAATCCCTGATAATACTTTTAACATCTTGTCTCATTTGCCTTGGGCCCTCCTCTTAGTATAGCAAGAGATAAAGGGCCGTCCTAGGCTTAACCTAAACAACCTTTCATCTTACATTGCATTATCTATAAAGATGATTTTAACCCCCTTTGTTTTCTTTCTTTCTTTCCTTTACATGAATTCTATAGGTTATTATGGACCAGACTGCAAAATCCGTTGCCCTGGCAACTGCAAGTCATGCAACGCCGTGACAGGCAGCTGTCAATCATGTTACGCTGGTTTCTATGGCAACAACTGCTTGAGGTAAGACAGTCTCAATGTCTTACTGATTTAGCTAATTTGCATAGCCTTCTTAGCCTCAACCAGAAATTGAAAATCCAGTGTAACAGCACTGAAATCATCTTTGGGTGGCTGATTACTGTATCAAATCGGCAAGACAGTATCAAATTGGCCGGGCATGCATTATACCCACCCAAGTGGGGCGACCAATTTTTGAAGGCGGCCAATATAGACTTCCCTTGCCCCATCTGCTTGGAGATTAGCTTTGAGTGCCTGAGATTGAAGTCTTTTGTTTTGTTTCTGTGTTCCGCAGACAGTGCGGTAACTGTGAAACGTGTAACAAGGAGACTGGAGTGTGCGAGGAGACGTGTCAGGATGGGTGGATGGGAGAAAACTGCGACAAGAAGTTCGTATATTTTTTTATCCTCGCCCAGAAAGTTTATAATTTTCGGTAGCGTCATGTCTCAATCGTGTGTGTGTTCATGTAAGTATGTGATAACTAAAAAAACTTGGATGAATTGTCGTGATACTTGGCAGGTGGGTAAGTATTGATGAGATCTCTATATGATTAAATTTTGGATCCCCTGGAGGCTTGTTCTGGTACTGCAGCGGAACTTTGATATCTCGCGGTCCGGACATGCCAGGGTCGCGAATTGTGGTAGATGTAGCCCTTGTGCTCCAAGCAGATGTTTCGGTGGCTGCAAAGACAGCTGGTATCAAATTGGTCAGGCAGTATCCATTGGCCAGGCAGTATCCATGATTGCAATGGATGCTGCCTTTGCGGCCACCGAAAGATCTGCTTGGAGATTACTTCCCGGGCACAAGAGCTGTCTACCATACAAAATTCGTGGCCCTATTCAAGAAATCGCGAGTTATAAAAGTTCTGTTGCAGTACCATAACAAGTCTCCAGGGATCCAAAATCTCATGAAGACCTATCAAGCTACCAAATATCACGACAACTCCTCAGAGTCCTCACTGTCCTTGTAATCTGAAGTTTAAAAAATTTCGGCAGGTGTGCTCGAGGTACGTACGGGCGGAACTGTAAGATGATCTGCCCGGAGAACTGCCCGTACACGTGTAACCGGGTGAGCGGGAAGTGCCGACAGTGCGTGCCGGGGTTCTTCGGGCAGGCCTGCGAGAACCGCTGTCCGAAGGGCTGCAAAACCTGCTCCATCCAGCAGGGGGTGTGCCTGGACTGCAAACCAGGGTAATGCACTAAGGATATAATGGATAGTAGGCCATGTTAATTTATATAGAATAATTTTCGTCCAATAAAAAAACGTTTTCGAGCATACTCTAAATAGTACAAAGCAGATGAAAAAAAATATGCCGTAAGTGACAAAAAATATTGGAAAATTCTACTAATATCGTAGAATACAAAAATCAAATCCAAACGAAAAGAAGAAAATGTGGGGAAATGAAAATGAAGAGTCTTATCATTCACCATAGCACACACATAGTTGTGTGTTTTTAAGTCATCTAGCCAAGCACACCGCGTCATCCCTACTCTTCTCCATAAGTGTTGTACTGTTGGGTTCTTTTCCGTGCTCTAGTAAACTAACATGTACCGTGGCCGACAAGAACAAAATTTTACACCGCAACTTTTGGTGTTTTACACCGCAACTTTTGGTGTTTTACACTGCAACTTTTGGTGTTTTACACTGCAACTTTTGGTGTTTTACACTGCAACTTTTGCTGTGTTTTACACTGCAACTTTTGCTGTGTTTTACACTGCAACTTTTGCTGTGTGGAAAACTTACACCCCTCCCCTTTTATAATGGACGGTCCCCCTGTCAGGTCAAAGGTGACAACGATTGCATGCAAACTACGTCGACTGAGTTATCCTTTTCGTGCATAAGTTTTTTAGAGGAAAAGCTTGGCTACGTTGTGACGTTAGTTTTTTTCTAAAGGCCTTTGAGTCACGTGACATTTTCTAGCTAGAGAATTCGGACTCGCAAGGTCGCTAATAATTTGATGAGTAAATATTGGGCCTATGGGAGTCAAATGTGGCACCACTTGGTACTATGAAGCAATAAAGACTTATTTTCAATTATGAAGTGTTGACTCTTGACTCAGGTAAGTTATCGATCATTAGGGAACAATACGAGCGATCGCCATGACGTCACCGTAGGCAAAAAGTGGGTGCCAGTTGGCTGATTTGCCTACCAAGAATTTGCATATGTCTTCAAATAATTTGCATGCGTATAATGTAAACAAAAACAGCGATCGCTCGTATACAAATGTAGAATAATATTGTATACAATATTTATAGTTAATAAGACATCTAATCAATGTTAATTAGTCAATCACTAATTTATAAACTGTCATCATGGAGGCAATACAGTGTTGTGTAAGTATAGTAAAGTTAGAACACAAAGAAGAACAGACAGAATTATAAATCATCAATTTATTCACAGCTTGATCAATTTCTTAAGATCCCATTCTGTTGATGTCTCACACTCAGTCACAGCACGACACTGTGACTCTCAGGCCGCCGCCATCTTTGTCACCTTTGACCTGACAGGGGGACCGTCCATTATAAAAGGGGAGGGGTGTAAGTTTTCCACACAGCAAAAGTTGCAGTATAAAACACAGCAAAAGTTGCAGTGTAAAACACAGCAAAAGTTGCAGTGTAAACACACCAAAAGTTGCAGTGTAAAACACCCAAAGTTGCAGTGTAAAACACCCAAAGTTGCGGTGTAAAACACCAAAAGTTGCGGTGTAAAATTTTGTACTTGTCGGCCACGGTAAACATGAGACGTTTTCAAACAGGTTTGAGCTGTATCAGGGAAGCTGTGAAGAGTGCCCAGCGGGAACGTACGACAAAGACTGCTCACAGCGGTGCCCGGAAAACTGTAAAGGGAAGCGCTGCAACAGGTTTGTTTGTTTGTTTGTTTGTTTGTTTGTTTGTTTGTTTGTTTTCTTTCCCAGTGATAAAGGACTGGAATAATGGAAACAATAAGATGGCGTGTTATAAATTGAAACACAAAACTGCATTGTATTAAGTCTATTCATATCTACTATTGGTTTCATGTTGTGTTTGAACTAAGTTTAAATGTTAGTTTGGGGCCCCTGGCAGCTTGCACTAGAACTGCAGGTGCGTTTGTGTGTATGATTCTTGGCAAACCAGGGTGCAATTTGTAAAATTGGCAGCATTTAATTGGACTAAATGGCAGCAAGATATTGATTAGAAAGTAATGTATAAATATGCATTTATTACTACAGGTTCACAGGGGGCTGCAATGCCTGCCAGAAGGGCTGGAGGGGGCGCTTCTGCAACGAGACGGACGAGAACGTCAGACCCGCGCTGACTACTCCGGGAACGAGACTACCGTGCCAGTGTCGTAATGGTGGATGGTGTGACGTCACCAAAGGAAGTTGTGTCTGTTTAGCAGGATACTTTGGGAAAAGGTGAATTTTGTAAAAAAATAAATCTTGAAGAGTTTTGACTTGATAGTGTTATATAAAACGTATAAATTGACCGACAGCGAACATCTGAGGGCATCACTTTTTGTAAATATTCAGCATTCATAGATGTGAAAATAACTAGAAAGGTAACATTTGCAAAGCAAATGCATGATGTTTACCTTCGCATATGGTCTGCTTTGTTAATTCTTACTCAAACACATTCATGTATATGGTGACAGGAGTCTAAATTCCTCCTGCTATAAAACTGCAACATGATGTAACCCAACACTAGTTACCATGGTGACAGACCTCTGGTTCACGTCATTGACGTTATTTGTTTGGAGAAGAAGAAGAAACTGAGCAAAATGTTTTACTTTTCCTTTGCCCACTGTAGTTGCGAAAACATCTGTCCGGTCGGTCGCTACGGGCAACTGTGCGCCAGCCGGTGTCGGGGGTGTAAGTTCTGTGATCACGTGACGGGGAAATGTGACACCGGGCCGCCATCAGAAAGAACAACGGTCTCCTCCAATGACGTCACGGGGGCAACTCCAAGGACAAAGGGTATTTTGATAAAACAAGTTTAACTGCAATTGCCAACACAATAAATTTGACTAGTACTTATCCAATTGTTCGACTGTACAACTCAAGCCTTTGTCAATGACAAAGACTGGAGTTGTACAGTCGAAGGTATTGGACTTCATAATGACTTCTATCAACACAGAAGAACTTTCAAAATAAGATATTTTGACGCTCGTGATTTCTTTGGGTAGTTCTAGGTGACGACAATGAATGAATGAATGAATGAAGTATGGAAGGATCGAATGAATGAATGAATGAATGAATGAATGAATGAATGAATACATAACATTGGAGGTTGATTGCTTGTCGTTTTGTACATGTGCGAACTATAGCTCCTGTTCCTCCGTTAGGACTTCCATCTACGGAATTTCCAAGCCGAGTCACACCATCCCCACCCTCTGACGACAAACCCGGGTCCTCTGAAGAGAAATCTGAATCCCCTGGTGAAACAACATCCGGGCCCTCTGATGAAACATCCGGGAACTCTGGAGAAACATCCGGGAACTCGGGTGAAACATCCGGGTCCGCGAAGACCGCGCCCGACGGGACGGCCCAGCCCAGGACGAAGGATGACGTCAACATGCTGATGATCGCTGTCATTGGTGTGGGCGTCGCCGCCATCTTGGCGTTGCTGGTTGCCATGGTGATTTGCTTCCTCCACGTCAGGCGAAAGAGGAAACGTGAAAACGAGTAAGCCTTCTTTCCCCTCCCTCCCTCCCTCCCTCACAGACTAACTTGGGCTACTTACTTGCAGTGCTGAGCTCTACGATTCTCAAACGGCGTTTTTGGTGATTGTGTAATGCAATGATGGCGCTTGAAGAAAGTGCAGGTCATTGCAATGTCTGAACTAATGGTACTTTTGCTATGTTATTACAACAATTTCTCCATCCTCTCGTCATTTAGAAGATCACCAAAAGACTACTTTTCTACTAAGATCACAAAACCCACTAATTAACCCACTAAAGTTTTTCCAGACAGTTGTTACCTGTCTCCTGTTACTGTATTGCAATGAGTATCATACTTGATTGTACAAGCAATTAGCCTTCGGGAATGATTTTGCAAATAAAGTTTCAAATTAAACAAAAAATTGTTGGTTTTGACAGGAGCACGATGGAGATGAACGCCCGGCGGAACCACCAGTGGGAGCGGGTAGGCGTGGCGCAGCCGTACATCGTCCTCAAACTGCCGCCGCCTCCGCCCGAGGACGAGTACCACGACACGCCGGCAAACTCGGACAACGACAAAACCGTGAGTTTTTCGAAACGATCTTTCGGTGGCCGCAAAGACCGTTGAGTATCAAATGGACCACGCAGTACCCTCAGGTGGCTAATGGATACTGTCTGGCCAATTTGATACTGTCTTTGCGGCCACCATAAGATCTGCTTGGAGATTAGGAATGCTCCTAATGATCGGTGTTCAAAAGCACCAAATGCTGCTTTTTTTTTGCTTTTCTCAAAGTATAGAAAATTCTTTATTCACAAGCAATGTCTAACAAGAGCCGATGTTCGGTCACAGGCTCTTGTTACAAACGTGGTTGTGAATGAAGAACTTTGCTATTGAATCATTCACCAACCTGATGGTAATTATTCACAGATTTTCATAGTAGTTAAACTAAATTTTTCCCCAACAAGTTACAAACTCAACCTTATTTGAACACTGCGCAAATTAACGATTTCTCCCCATCCTCCTACAGCATGAGAACTGTACAGATGCGATGTCTACTACTTGCAGTGATGACGAGGACGGCAGAGGGTTCTCTGACTCAGGGACACAGACTCTTCCAAGGGTAGGGATGTTTGTAGAAGTTTAAGGACTCTGGAGGTGTCAGGGCTCCCAAGGCAGGGACAAACAGACAAACTGACTCTTTATACGCCATTACACCATCCGACTGTACAATAGACAGCGGCAGGCCTAGTGCCTCTGTTCATTTGTGTACCTGTATACTAGTATATTGCACTTGCTCAAGTTTTCTTTGTCATGTCAAGTCAACGTAATGCAGGAGCGTTACATGTTTTACATGTATATACACTTCTGCCAAGTTGACTGTTGTGATTGAAGTTTTAAAAGTGTGAAAGTCGTAATCAACACCCTATAAAGCATGTTATATTTAGTCTTCTTGGAAAAATAACAGATTATTCTTGCTGATGATCTTTCTTTTAATAAACACGTGAAGATGTCCGGAGGTTCTGAAAACACAGCTGGGGGCGCCGGGCAGCCGCCAGCGAAGAAGAAACGGACAAAAAGCACGAGTGACGCGTTAGACGACAAGACCACGGCTGGTCCCGCGTTTCTGTCCCGCATCCTACCGCAACTACATCGGCGATCCAACGACAACCAATCAAAGGTATAATGTAATTAACTAGAAAGGTAACATTTGCAAAGTAAATGTATAATGTTTACCTTCACATGGTCCAGCCTAACAAACTACTGCTCTGTTTTAATATCCTTACTTAAACAGATCCATACATAAGGTGACACTAATCCATCTCTGTCTTGCAACTCGCAATGTACTCACATGAATTTGAATATATCCCTATCACAACAAGCTACGAATAAATGTATCTCAACACTTCACTTACTGTACACAAACGGTTTCAGGCTGCTGAAGATGATGACTACGCTGCAGAGGACGAAGGCGACCAGGTGGACTCAAACCCTCCCAAGAGCGACACCTTGCGGCCTAAGCCGGCACCGCGCAAGGGACACCTCAACGACTAAGAC